ATTTTGAAGTAAAAAAAACTCAGCAATTCCCGTACCCAGCGGATTTTCTGTGCAAGATCTGAATTTTTTTGTTTGTAACATAAGTTGGTTCTCAGATCTGAAATTCTTTGTTTTAGATCTTGATAAATTCTTTATTTTAGATAAATTCTATATTGTAAAATTCTCTATTTTAGATCTTGAGTGTGAAATTTCAGAACTGAAATGCAAAATTTCACATCTGAAGTAACCTTGAAAAACAAAACTTCAGATCTGAAATTAGATCTGAGAAACCCTTTGTTAAATTATATTTTATGCGTTCCCAACAAAAAATAGAGTTTATATTTTTTGATGTTTCAGCAACACACAATTATGTTTAGATTAACTAGCGGTAAAAAAGATTTCCCAATAACTTCACAAAAAGTTTTCTTTCGAAATAAGTTTCTAAGACTTCCCAATAACTTCACAAAGAGTTTTCTTTCCAAATAAGTTTCTTGTTCAACTGTGTTAAAAAGAGTTCAAAAACAGTCAGATGACTTATCAAGTTTTTCACTTTCAGGCGCTACTTATGCGTTTTTAATGTTAATCTCTTGCTTGGGGAAATGTTTTTTGGCCTTTTGAGACTTTGATGAGTACTTGCTAGTAGCTAGCAGAAGCTATCAAGTACTAAAGTCTCAAAAATAGCAAAAATTGTGTTAGACTCATTGTAATTTTAGATCTGTATCTATGTAATTTTAAATAACCAAGAAAAACTAAGTTAGATCTCAAAAACAATTTCAGATCTGAAATAATCAAGAAAAACAAAATTTCAGATCTGAAATTAGATCTGAAATAACCCATTCCTAAAGCATCGAAGCGTTATTTTAACATTTCACAATCCATTTCAGATCTGAACTTTCACTAATGATAGAGAGTAGAGCATTTACTACGTACGGGTCGAAATTCCAAAATTGGAATTTGCCCTTTTTTACTCCATCCAAGAAACACATTTACTCATCTCTTCCAACACTTGTCTGATTTCGAGTGAGCAAATACAAGAAAGTTGAGTGTCTTCTCTACGTACATGTTCAAGCAAAGGGTACTGGTGCAAACACAGTAGTTAGCCGTATTTGAAGCGACCTTTCGATTATTTTTTAAATACGTTGCCCGGTCGCTATAACGAGGAGATGACTATTTGACCTTACTATCCGCACGGAGACGATAGAGTAGATTACCATAACACCAGGTGACAGAATTGATTTTGACAAGTTCATATCTGACAACAAGTTTGAGCATACGGGTGATACTGGTGGTTAATACCTTAAACCACTGAAGTATACTTTTTGGCAATCTTCTCTAGGATGAATTAAACTTCTCTACTTGTGTTTGAAACAGAGCAGCGTTCAAAAGAAGTTAACAAATGAATTTAGGTTCGCTCAACAAGGGATTCGATAAAATATAACTAATACAGAGATTGAATTTCTGAGCAAAAAAGCATCCGCCCTACCCCCACCTTTTTTTTTCACCCGCAGTTGATTCGACGCACACTCGACTCCAGAGGCGAAAGAAGAAGTCACTATACGACCACCCGCTTAGAATCTTTTGCATAAAATTTTGTTTGAAAAGGGTCTGACTTTTGAAAAAACTTTTGAAAAAACAAGTCAAAAACAAGCCGTTTTTGGGCACTTTTTGATAAATTTTGACAAAAAAATCGCGTTTTTTTGGCGCGCGCTCACCCTCAAAGTTAGTATATACTGGCGCCGCAGGCGCCCTTAGAAAAGTTTTAGGGTCGGTCGGCCAAAAATGGATTTCTGTGAAAAAATATCAAAAGGGGGACCCTTTGGGTCGGCAGGGGGTCAAATCCCTGAGGAAAGGGCGTCCGCCCCCCTCCTAAATCCGCCCCTGCCAACAGGGCAATAGGCTCAATTATGAGCCCAATACTTAGAATAATTGCCCGGTTCAAGCCTTCCATGGCAAATCAGAGATCAAAAAATGGGCTCAATTAACCCTTTTTGAACAAAAACAATTTCCTCGAGGGACTCAAACCAATTGACTGAGTGCCTAAGACCTCTTTGCTACCTCGTTTCTAACAAAGTTTGATGTCTCTTTAAACAAAAGTTGGGTGACTGAATGAATCAGAACTGCTAAAAATTGAGGTCGTTTTGGTCCTTTCGCTAAAAATTTTGGTCCTTTCGCTGCAGCTTCTTTTTGAAGAATTGGGCTCATTCAGCTCTAAATTGAGAATTTGGGGATCAACAATTGGGCCCAGTTTGCTAAATCATCGGCTTATTCAACCTCTTTGCTAAAATTTGGGTTTAGTCCGCGCCCGCCATGAAAAAAAATTAAATGAGGATCAATTTTGACTCGGGTTTTCGCTACTGTATCACACTGTTCGAATCAAGAGGGAAGGAAATATATGACAACTTTGCGGTAGATTCATCAAAAAAGGGAGCGTCATTTTCAATAAGACCAAAACTACCGTTGTTAGCAACAGAGTTTGAACTACCAACTAAACTTCATGCCTCGCTGAAGCACTGAAATCTGATATTATATTAGCTAACAAAACAAGACTGCTCGCATTAGGGCGAAGCCCTGAATTTTCCGACTGCGTTTTAAGGTCTATGAAGCTGTAATAACATTACAAAATTAAATTTAAAAAAAAAACGATTTTTTTTACATTTGAGATTTTTTGTGAAAATCATGCCCCCACACGCCATATAAAGTACAAAGTGATAAATCTCGCTCCTAGTAACAAATCAATTATGGCAAAAAGCTTCATTCAACCAATTCGGAACAATTAAATCTCCGCTTACGCTTTAATAACGCGAAATAATCGCGCGTTAATCGTCCCAAATTGGCCAAAATGGCATTTTTTAAAACCCCATAACTTTACAAAAAATGATCACAAGTGAATATCATCTTTTCAAATTTAAGGTCAAGACAACAATACCTTTAGAATGATATTTAAAAATTCAGTCTAAAATGGCTAGTGAAAAATTAGAAATTTATCTGATTAAAAAAATCACCCCGAGCGCAAATATTCTGCTACTTTTTTTGCAAAAGTCGGATTAAAAAACCAGAATTGAGATATTAGATTATATAAATGAGTATAGCCAACAAATTCAGCAAATAGGGAAAATGAACCAACGTAAGTACGACTGCTTTTATCGGGGTGAAGCCCTGAACGTTCCAACTGCCTTTTAAGGTCTATGGAGCAGTAAAAAAAGAAAAAGTTTTTTGTAATAAATTAAAATAGGGTTTTTTTTAAATTTCAGATATTTTTTTGGAAAATCATATCCCACTCGCCAAATAAAGTACAAATTGATAAATTTCGCTCCTAAAAACAAATCAATTATGGCAATGAAGATAAGTTTTTAAATATAAGCTCAGTACAACAATACTTTATGAATTACTTTAAAAAAAGTTCCGTCAAAAATGGCTTGTTATAAATTTCGTCTGAAAAATTGGCTTGGATGAAGTTTTGACTCAAAGCTGCTATCTCTCAATATATTTCAACCAGCTCAAATTTAACAAAATTGATTAGAATTTGTTCATTTTAGCAAACTTTTCAATCTTAAGACTATATGTTAAACCCGTAATGAGTCAAATCGCAAAAAATGACAACTCGCAACAAAAGACAACTCGCATTAAACTACATCTCGCAATATTATCACCGAGCAAACGCGCCAGTGTTGCAAGCTTGCCAATAGAGGGTAGGACTTTATACGAAATCTACCGCCAATTATCGCCTTCCCGGGTTGGCGTCTATAGAAGAAAAATGATTATCATACAGTTTCATATATGAAGTCTATGGAAAAAACGCTTATCATACAATTATCATGTATGAAAATTATAAAAAATTCATTTCGTCATAGAAAAAATAAAATTTTCCAAAATCACGAAAAAACGTGTCTGGGTAACATTAAATAGATTTAAATAAGTATGTCTATCATAGAGGGCATATTGACAATCAAAAACATAAACTTAATTTCGGTCAGAAAAATGCTTATCATAAAATTTTCATATATGAAAATTGTATGATATGCATTTTTTTCATAAACAAAAATAAAAATTTGAGGTAAAAAATTTTTAAACCCTTTTTTGGCTGCAAATTTGCATTTGTGCTAAAAAATAAGTTTTACGAAAAAAAAATTGCTTGCCAAAATTTGTCATTTTTGCGTTTATAACGTAGTCCAGGATGAGTTTCTCACCCAAAAAACCCAAAAATTACGTGAAATTGTTTTTTTTGTAAACACGAACATTATCTTTAGTTTCATTTGCTAAGATAAAAATAAATTTGTAAAAAAACAGGCCTTTTTTCTCAACCATCAAAATTTTCAAGCTAAAAATTATCTAGCCATATTCAAAAAGTTACTTTTTTGGTACATATTTCCATGTGAAAATGTTATAATTAACTTTTAAGGCTGAAACCATCAAATGCAGTTTATCTGCGTGGTAACTGCCAGTTACACTCTGGGTACCTCTGGGTAACTGTCAGTTACACTTTGCTATTTTAATGCATACACTTTTATTCTATGAAATGGTATGCAAAAGTATGATAAGCATTTTTTTCATTTATGAAAATTGTATGATAAGCATCTTTTGTCAACCCGCGATTTCTTAAATTTTGCGAGTTGTCTTTTGTTGCGATACTTGTCAAACCATACCCAAAAAGTCCAAAGCCACGTTTCCAAGGACACGTAGGATGTGGCATCCTATCATGCATGAGCAATGGCTATGAATACATCTAATTATTCAGCCATGATAATCAAAATCTCAAAAACAGAGCCTTATAATATCGACCGTTAAGCTTCATCCCTCTTTCAGCAGAGGAGACCGAACTTTGATATTTCTTTAATTTCAGGTGTTTACTTGTAGTGAAACCAGCTCAATAAATCAACAATTATGAACTTAAAGAATTCTACTCTGATATTTTATTGTATTTTGATTTGCTCATTCATACTAAACTATGAATTTAAACTCATAAAACATCAGTTTGGGTTAGCCAAATTCACACTTCGAGCCTTATCGTTAATGGATTTCCGACTTTCAATCGGCGCTTTTTGGTCCGGATCCGATATCTGCATGCCCTTTCTAATTTTTGTGTCGGCACTATTATAGATCGATTTTGGATTGTTACTTCTGGAATGTGTATGCGATACGGAAAAGGTAATTTATCCAAATGTAGATTTACTAATAAAAAAAAACATTAATGCTTCCTATGTATAAGTGAAAACTGGGCAATGTTGAGCAGAGAATCCGCGATTCATTATGTGTTTATTGTTCCGACTTTCGATAGGAAAGTAACGGAATATTTGTGCTCGGGGTGGGTTTTTTTTCTTCAGACAAATTTCGACTTTTTAACTAGCCATTTTTGACGGAAATTTTTAATATCATTCAAAAGGTATTGTTGTCTTGAGCTTAAATTTGAAAAGATATTTCACCTGTGATCATTTTTCGTAAAGTTACAGGGGTTTAAAGATTGCCATTTTGGCCAATTTGGGACAATTAACGCGCGATATATTTCGCGCTATTAACGCGTAAGCGGAGAGTTAATCCATCTTAGAAATCGTTCCAAATTGGTTAAAAAAAGCCTATTTGCCATAATTGATTTGTTACAAGGAGCGAAATCTATCCTTTTGTACCTATATATGGCATGTGGGGGGATGATTTTTATTTAAAAAAATTCAAATTTTAGAAAAAAATTTTTTCATTGTTTTATTTCATTGAATTTTCTAATGTTACTACCGCTCCATAAACCTTAAAAGGCAGTCGGAACATTCAGGTGAAATATCTTTTTTTCAAATTTAAGCTCAGAACAACAATATCTTTCGAATGATATAAAAAAATTTTCCATAAAAAATGGCTAGTTAAAAAGTCGAAATTTGTCTGAAGAAAAACCCACCCCGAGCACAAAGATTCCGTCACTTTCGTTACAAAAGTCGGAATAAAAAACTTAAATTTTGCCTTTTTTCTAATTTGTTGGAACGCTTTTTTACACTGGAACACATGAAATGAGCGTGATTTCAGGTGTCAGCTTCTTAGTTGAGGTTGGGGACTACACAAGACCTATCAGACGAATCGAGCCTATCTTATCAACTGAAGTATTCTACACTGAACCGTAAGGGTTACAGGTTTCGGATCTACGAAGCAACTCCCCCTATCAAGAAAGGGGATTATTAAGTAGATTAAGTTAATCGAACTTTCGACCAATCATGCAGCAAAGTTCGAATTCTCAACACCAGTTTTATTGCTAGTTTACTGTATTTATGTATATGGGAGTGGAGAATTTTTACTAGATACCATAGGGGAGAGGTTGTTTAGTAGATCCTAGCTTTCATATTGCACTTTTTGACCGTCCGCTGAAAACTTTCAATCGACTTCATAGCGATCTTCAAATAGCCCTTTTGATCAACTTTAACCATACCACCAATACCGTCATCGGGCAACCGATGAGGTTAAAGTTTATTCAATTATCATGTCTTTTTGGTAATTGGGTAATTAGCAACCTTGAATTGAGGGTGAAAATGTAACTCCATACAAACAATATACACTTTGTACATGTAATGAACCTTCTGGTCCAATTAAGGACAAAACTGACTGCTGGAGAGACGCGAATATCAAACCTAGTGGTGAATCCGTATAACAGTCGTTCACTCATTTCACATATGATGTTCAGACGGATAGGCCCTATAACTATTGCCTCAATCTCGCGGTCGGAGCCAACTCACGATTCGCTTATGATATGGAACTGAAGGTTCGTTACATTAAAAGGCTACTACCAAAATAACCACCCACTCTAGATTGAAATTAGTACGTTCCCATGGCTAGGCCTCTAAATACCTAAAACACGCAAACACGGTTAAAAACAGGGTCGGAGCCTCAATTAAACCAATTCAGGGATCCAATTCAGGGATCCAATGGACATTTGATCCAATTCAGATGGATCAACCTAAAACTCGCCTCACCTCAGCATAACTGTATAAAGTGCACTCTAGCAATTAAATTCAAGTACTCAGATCAAGACAACCACTCTGGAATTAATTACAGACACTATCGAATCATGTAATTATAACTCTAGAAGTTTGAATAAAACAATAATTTCCGCTCAAGAAATTTTCAATAAATTTTGGAGCAATGGGTCACTTGAGTGGGCGACCTTCCAAATCAATTTTTCTCTTGCTCCAAGTGTGGAACTCTTGATGCTGTCTATTAGGAACAAGACAAGTCTACTCATGTTGATTGTTATTTGACAAATTGCGAATAGTAATGATTTCTCTTTAGTTATCATGAGAAACTTGAGCATGGCGCGGCCAATTCGAAATTTTGAAAAATACCATTCGAACCAAAAGTGACCAGAATTTCTTTCACATGACCGACTGGCCGACCGGCAGCAGTATAAGGTTAACATATTTAACAATTTAACCAATGCCAAATTACCTTTATACCAAATTAGGACTAAGTGAATAATTTTCCCCTAATTCAAATTAGGGAGGAGATCGCTCACTTGGTTAAAAGCAATACTTTTCAGTCAATCAGATTCGAGTATAATACATACAGTCCTTACTGCTTGCAAATGCCATTTAAATTTAGGGGGATGTTGTTGGTGGTAACCCTCATACTTGAGGGATCGAATGCTTGAAATTAATTTTAGCTTACTTTCAGCCAATTAGAACTGAGTATTCAAAATCTCAAAGTAAATCGCAAAAATCTTGAAGAAAGAAAAAAAATCCAGGCCATTAGTGTTAATATTGACCGATTAGATAATAAGCAGATAAGTTTTCAAGGCTGAAAAACTCCTATGAACTTGAACGCATATATCTTGACGTTTATCTGAATAGTACTGCGGTTGTAACCCGCAATTTGTAATATTTTTGAATATTTTCCACTGATTTAATACATTTTCTGTTAATATTGACTTCGATTTAGTGAGAACGGCATTTAGCCAATAGGAACGCTTAGCGATTTTGATTGGTCGAAATTTTTCAAGCAACCGGTCCCCAAGCATGAGAACCTTCCCCGATGTTGTTCACTTAGGGGGGTAGTATTTTTTACATGGGCCCCAAATTTACATCACAACTAAGCTTTACCCTTCTGAGTGTTTGTTTGCATATAAGTTCTACCATGTAGTCTCATAATTTGTCGGGTTAAGAATCTGATCCTTTTGTGTTCCAGCTGGGACACGGCTGAGAGTCCCCACGATGTGGTTGCAGTAGTCAGAGTAGCCAGACCAATTCAAGGTATACCATGCACACAACGCAGTCTTTCCATACCCCCCCCCCACCCTCCCCCAGCAAACCATAGTCCTCCATATTACGAAAATCCTACCGAAATGAGGCTGTAATTTTTTTATTTATTTCTAGGCTAGAGGGAGCATAATGGGAAATAGTTACAAACTCCCCTGAAACCAAACGGCAAATTTTTACTCCCAATTCAATTTTTCGAACTTCTATCCCAACTTACAACAAAATTTTGCGCTGAGTAAAATTTCGCTTTCTGTGTCAAAATAGTTTCATAGTTATTGACTTGAATTCCAAATGTTTCTCAACACAGATTGCCATACCGCGATGACTCACCGAATTGTCTATTCACGCGAGCGCTCATTGGCTCTCTCATTTTTGAACAAAACTTTACAAATCAAAGTGCTTTAAGCTACCATATTTGGTAATCTGGCCAAATATGGTCATAATATAGTTCTTTTGTCTGACTGTTGAAAAATTATTTGATTCGTCGTCAAAATGCAATAAAACAACCTCAAGATATTCGATGAACTCTCACATACGTTTTATGTTTCAAACTGTACATCGATAAAACCTTCAAAAATGTAAAAACAAAGCTTGTAAAGCGTCTAAAACTAACATGACTGACATTACAAAGTCATGCAATTTTTGATGGTCACACTAATGGGGCATAAAGCTTCATACTTACCTGGCGCCGACCGTCCTCTGATCAAGCAGAGAGGTGGTCCAGGGCGAGGCCTCTGCATTGCACTGCGCGGAGGTTGACCCCTGCGATTTCTCCAAGTGAGAAACTCGGACGCACAATTTATTAGTGTGGGGACTGCGTACGCGCTCTCCCTGATAATCATGAATCTTATAAACTTCTGTACTTCAATCGAGAAAATATCGATAGATTTGCATATGCGCAGTTTTTGCAATGTTAATTAAAGTCGATCAAAAATACAACATTGATAATTTTGGAAAACATAATTTTTTCATTGTGATGACATTCTTCAGATATATCGAGATATCTGAAGATCTGCCAGAGACCTGGATCCCAAGGAGACACCATTGGCACCTGTGGATTGGGCCAAACATCCAGATCTGAAGCCAAACATTCGAGGACTCTGATGGAAGCCTACTTTTCTGTCAGCTACCTGCCAGATGGTTTTGTTCCGGTCGTGGATCAGCTGAGTTTCTGTCGAGAAAAAGACATTTGTACTCGTGAAATTACACCAGGTAAAGTTTAGCGATGAACTAAATTCATTCTTGATTCTCTTGTCCATATTTTGAAGTATTAATGCATACAATTGAGAGGGTCTAAAACCAGAAATACCAAACTGACCCAATGCTATACGTGGGATTACAGATTGCGATGTTGCTGAAAATAACTGAGGTGCTTCAGCCCGACCCCAACAAAGTAGTCGATTGGTTTCAGAATGGGGGCTTGTAGTAAGCACTACAATAAATAAAACTGAGTTAAAGATATTGTTAAGAACATTTAACCATGAGGGGGGAAAGGACCAACATATGAGCTGTACAGCTTATCCCAGCGAACCGCTGATGTGTCCCTGCTTAAGAACTACATACTATTTTTTTTCGCAGCCTTGAACTTAAACCAAGTCCATTGTAGTTTTGCCAAATCTTAGTTTTGCCAATGCGGGAGCACAATGTGTTATTTATGATACTTAGTAATATCGCTAAGAAACAAAATCTAACTTGCTTGCTAAAAAGTTTGTTTTCAGCTCAGAGAACTGGATTGTATAAAGTTTTTTGACCTTTGAAAATAGACGCCTGCTTGTCAGAAAACTGATTTCAATGAAAGCTGACGATTTCAGCGACTCAAAAAACAAACAGTTCAATTAAACAATTAAAATCACAGTATTAAGCCCCGTAGACCTCGAAGGAAGTCAGAATATTCAAGAGTCATAATACGAGCAGTCTTGCCTTTTGTGATATCCAATTTTTTTTTGTTCTGAAAGAATAGATTTTGGGGGATTGCTTCTCTAGGTTCGTTCTCTCTTTCTTAACGACGCCGAAAAATGGTCCCATGGGTAGTGAATTCAGTGGGACGATTGATATTCGCTAGTATCTACAATTCCGAAAGAGTAAGTTGGTGGCAACTATTCTTTATTGTATTATGTTGCTTGCCCCTTCTTGCGTACTGCTCTCAGGATGTCTTGTCTGCTCGATACAATCGCAGAAACTTCCAATTGTAATTTAATTCAGATGAGTATACGTCTAAATACAGTAGGCTCTGAGTGGCCAGGTTATGATCCAAGCATCAAATCAAAAGGAAATGGTCCGCGATTTATCGGCCAAATTGCCTATTTGCAATTAACTTCCAGCTGACTCGACTAACAATAAACTGTTCTCTTTCTATCTCTAGAGAATCTCTGAAGAGAATCAACTATCTACTGTTGTGCTATAATTGTTCTCTTACTCCGACGACCAACGACTCGATTCGCTAGCAATAATTGTTCTCTCTTATAAACTGAGAACCACCTATACTCTCTCTCAGTAGCAATTGCTCTCTTTTCTGATTGAGAACCAACAACTACTCTTAATATTAGCTAACCACTGTTTTGATCTTAAAGGCTCTCTGGTACCCTCCAGTTCCTTATCTTTCCTTACACTTAGCTTTAGTTAAGTCACGCCATTCCCTATCAGTCTTGACATCCGCTTGAATCAACCTTCCGCATTTGTTTTAATATGATATCACCCCTTGTTAACTCTGCTACGTGCCAACTTCGGTTTCTTTTATCAATCTGTTCGTGCTTATTAGATACCCGGTAAGCGTTAGATGTCACAATTTGACCAAGCAAACAAATTTCATACGATTCCAATCAACTAACTCCTGACCTTAGTGACTTTAGTTCAACTCAACCTCCAAACCATGCTCTGTTTACTCAGTGATCCTCCCAAGAACATTATTTTAAATATCCGTTAACATTTCGACCTCCCAAGGAGAGGGGAAGACCCTTTTCATGGGTGGCTAACTAATTCCAAGCATCTAAAGTTTCTATCTGTACTCTAATCCAATCACTATTTTCAAGCAATCAAGTGAACGTTGTTTGTCTTTTAGAGGTCAAATCAAGCCAAAAGGTCACCTCCGGAAAGCCAAGTAAATTCTTTGACCGTTCATATTATTTAGAAGACTTAATTCTCATGCCACGGTCCTATTCCTATCAATTTCGTCCGGGACTACTTTTCTTTAGTCTAGTTGAATTGCTATTAATAGATCATTTTCCAAACTAAACTGACCCCAAAATTTTTCAAGTCCAATTTAAGTTAACTCTACTTCCTCAAGGTTGCAATATAAAACTATATCTCTATCAGCTCCTGCTTTCCCAATATAGAAGTTTTACTCTCAATTCTTTTAGCAAAGTGACCTATTCACATCTCCAGGGGTTGGGCCGGATAATACGCCATTATCCGGTGTTAATCTCGGGGTTTCCTATGCAATTTTGGGGTCAAGACGCACAAAGGGCAACTCAAGATCAACCGGTGTCAAACTTCCATAATTGGGTTTAGGATCCCCATGGGGGCCTAACTAGCAAGTTCCATCCATATCCATTAATACTTCACTAGTTATCTCATTTCAAAGCTCCATTATCTTTTTTTACGGAAAAAGGCTATTAACTATTAACAGTGGAAAGAGTTGCCGGAGAGTTTTCACTCACTAAGGGTTCCTTTTTCGGGGTTCGTATCTTATGTCGATTGCCGCAAAAAAAAAATTACGCCACCGTTCAAAAATTTGTGTACATTGTCTACTTCCGGTCTAAGGGGGTGTTTTTCCAAGTGGTAATAGCTTTCGATCCAACTGCCGGATTTGGTTCAAATTATAACACCAAATGTATCGTGCAACTGCCTATCATCCCTTCAAATTTCAGCTCCCTGCGTTTATTGGAGGCCGAGAAACAACTTTCAAAAATTAGGGATGGGTTTGTTTATTTGGGAGACTGGTGTTCCAAACTTAAGCTTCCCTCAACTAGGCCTACAACCAACTAAACTTTTAGTTTCCGAGCTCTGATAGGGCCAATTACACTTCAGGGGACCGTTACCACTTGCTCCCCAGGGGTCTGAGAGGTCCCGTTTTTCATATGCTCGGGCCAAAACATCTCTAGTATCGCTCCTCTGATTTTTTTTTGGGGGGGGGGGGGGTTGTTCGCCATTTTTGTCAAATTTCGTTTTCTGGCATAGGAGGGAAAATATGTTCCAAGATTGAACTGTTTTGAACTCTAACTTTTGTTTTCTGTACTACTTAACTTAATGACGAATCAGTCTTACGCTCAGGTTCTTATAGCATGTAATACAGTAGAATCACCAATTCTACAGGAAGTAAAAAATTTCTTATGATAAAAGTGAGTACAAGTTATGCCGGAACTGACACTTGTAGAAGAGATGTAACATCTCCGAAACTAGTGTCAAAGTACTAGCTTTCAAATTTTAATTCTTTTTTAAATTGACCAGCAGACGCAGCAGCCGTAAAAATAAGAAAAAGAAACGAATTTTCTACACTCTTGTCTAGCGCCTGAACTTTTCGTTTTGTCAAAAGATGAATGTCAGTAGAACAGAATGAAAATCGAGAGTTGTTCGATGATATTGACCGAATCGCTGGTAAAATCTTTTGCAAGCATTCTTAGCAATATTGTTTTTAATCAAAGGTCCCAAATTATTAGTTCACAGCTTATGAAGGGACAATGCTAGCTGATTCAATTTCAAATGTTTTGTTAAAGTTTGTCTTCAAAAAAATTATTCACTAAATTTGATTATTGAGTAACTGAGAGACTTCTAACATTTTCGAAAATCTGCGAGCGAAAATGAAAATAGTGCCAGATTTAGAAAAATTAGAATTGCTATAACTGAAACCTTTTATCTTGGCCCCCTGATTTTTTTAGGTTAAGACTGAGCTTAAAACATGTTCGATTTCAATTGAAGGTTCCATTGAAGATCTTGGAAGATAACCCTTCTTGATTGACTAGGGGGGCATCTGATTATGATTTATGTCCTCCATTTTGTAAAATAATTTCTTTTATTAACTTCCAGGCGCTCACAGCTGTTTAAAAGACGCTGGCGCACCGGTTTATCAATTCGGCTGTGCTGATTCAGAGGACGGTTTCCAGTACCCGATCCCCAAATGTCTATACGGAATGGTGAAGTCTGTGAAAAGTTTTGAAATCGACTCACAGGGCGACTATTTGGGATGCAAAGGACCAGAGACGTTCACGAACTTGACTCACTATTTTCCTGAGATCCAACGGATTATTGACAATTATCGATTTTGAACTTTAAGACAAAGTGTGAGCTACTTATATTAAAGTAATAATTACTATTTACTTTTAGAAAAAAAAAACCTTTTCTCCGGCTCATTCACGAACTTTCGGATAAAATGTTTGAAAGTTTTTGAGGCAGTTATTTTCAAAAACTCAAAATTTCAGTTTTGAATTTTGAAAATTACGATTCTAGGAAAAACACTTTTTCAATTTTTCTATTAGTCCGGTTGACCAGAAGCGACTTTGGGGAGGGGTGGGGCGTTCTTTTTTAGGAACTAGACACCCTGACCACCCAAAGGTTCCCCCTTTGGTACTATTTTGCGACCTCCATTTTTGACCAACCGACCTTGAAAGTTTTTTAAGGCCCGAGATTGGCCCCTTTGGTTCTATTTTACGACATCTATTCTTGACCGACCAGCGTGAAAATTTTAGCCAATATACTCAAAATTTAAGGGGGGAAGCGCGCCAAAAAAAGCATTTTTGATCAAAATCTTCAAAAAAGTGTATAAATGTGTTTTTGCCGTTTTTCTGAAAAAGATTTGCTTATGACACACAAATTTTGACCAGTATAGGGTCCTTATCTTGAATTAAAAGACCTTGGAAGATCAATTTGGTTGAGCTAAAAAAGTTGAAATTTTTTTTTTTAATTGAAAAATCAGCCCACTCTCCTGAGAAAATCTTAGATCCACCCACTGCGGGTAACTAATTAGTTTGGCCAACTAGGCGATGGCATGTTGAGTTCAATTATTTGAAAGTTTGAAAGTCTGATTTCTTTTTTTAGAAATGAACAATTTTTACCAATTTAGATAAACGGGGCTAGAGAACAGAAAACTTCCCTTAACTTGACTGCGATAACGATCAAAACTACGTTGAAACTGTCCCAAGTTACGAAAAGTGTACACTCAAAGGAAGCAAATCACACTGTTGTCATCTTTTTTTATTGCTGAACGATTTTAGGTGAAAACCATCAAGACAAAACTTGCTTTGAATTTCAGCAGAACTTATATTTTACTAACAAAATACCAATTTTAACTAAAATACCAAAATTTCAACTAAATTTCAACAAAATACCAAAATTCCAATATAACTTAAACATTTTTTAAACATTATGCGAAAGTTTTTCTTAAAGATCATCCCATTCTGAAAGCTTGTGGGGCTACGTGAGAGGCTCGTTTTGAAATCTTATGTCAGTGACCGGCAAAGTAGTTTTGGTGTAATTTTTGTTAATTATAAAAACTCAAAAATGATCTATCTGTTTTTGCAAAACGTTGGGCCCGAACTTCGCAAAACAAAGACTGTCATGTTAATTCTGCTGAATTTCTTAGCAAGTTTTCATCGTTCATCGTTTTTTCACCTATGGTCAATACAATTTCAGAAAAATGCAATTTAAATTTCAAATTTATTGCGTTTTTTCTGGATAATTTGAATCAGCACTGTTTCCTTAGCCAAAAAAGGAAGATGATTGATTCTATCAGTACGAAATCTATAAATTTCTTGCAACGCTAGCAAAAAAAATAGCAAAAATAGCAAAAAAAATGCCTAGTAAGGTCCATGGAGAGGTGTTCGCTTTGAATGAATGAAAAGCACACACTTTGACTGATACAGCAGAATGCAAATGTTAAAATGGACAAAACAGCATATTTACGACTGATTATATCAACATTTTTTTAAATAACAAGACAATTTTTTAAAAAAATTTATTGGCCTGAGAATACCAATATAACAAATGGATTTGACATACAATTTAGAACAATTTTTAAAACTTGTCCCCGGATTCCAAACAGTGCGCGTATACAAAGCATATCTAAACATCTTATAGTATGATTGTTTCTTTTTGTCAAAAACAAAAGTGTAAGTATGCTTAAAGTGGACCTTGCTTGAAAGTAATAACTTAAATAAACTTTTTTACAAGCCAGGAATTATCAATTTTGAAATTGTTTGAGTGCTCAATTGAAAGAAAATGTTGATATCCAACTGAGATAGCTTGGTTCGCAAAATTCATCCTCAAAAATAAATTAATTTAGGTGACTGGGTTTTGATCAATGATCGAGTTGGCAAAAAGACTTGTCATACAATTTTAGTCGATGAAAACTGCTTGTCATACAATTCCATATCATTCATCATTCAATAGAAGACAAATTGAAGTAGAATTAGAATGTCTAGCCGTTTTGTTTATGAAATTCTATGATTAATTTTTTTCTTTGAATGAATTTAGTTCAATGAAACTTTTGCCACAAACAAAATTAAACATTTTTTGTGTCTTGCTTAATAATTATATGTTTTGCTGGGAAATAAAAAAAAGTTTTATCAATTGAGAAAATCATTTGATTGAACAGCATAAAATTACAGAGTCAACTACAAACTGAGACATGTTAAGAAAGTTAAACCATTAGACTTGACTGCTACAATAAGTGCTATATCAAACAACGGCAAATTTTTGCATATGGCTAGAATGGCTTTATCTCAGCAAAATCAATGATTTAAAAATATGGTCTGTTTTTTGGACAGACTTAATTTTTCTGGAAACTTGGAGTTCAAGCTTAGGACTTGTTCGAACACAAAATTGATTAACCGAGTTACCTAAAAATTATTATTTTTTTCTCAGTAATTAAAATTTTGAAAGAAAAGTATTTGCCATACAGTTTTTAAAAATGCAAATAGTTTCATGCGTTTCATATTACAAAAAATAGTTACAAGAAAGAGTTTCATATAAAAAAAATTATAGTTATAATTCATTTCAGTACAATTGGCAAAAAAATTACTTTCGTTGCTTAAAACAAAGTTGAAGGTTTTCTGCAAAATTGTTTTTGCGGAAAATCTTTTTCATTCTTGAAAATTTTATGACAAACTTTTTTGTAGACTGTAACAATGGACTTTTATGATAGTTTTTGTTCCGACTTTCGATACGAAAGTAACGGAATATTTGTGCTCGGGGTGGGTTTTTTTTTCTTCAGACAAATTTCGACTTTTAACTAGCCATTTTTGACGGAACTTTTTTATATCATTCAAAAGGCATTGTTGTCTTGAGCGTAAATTTGAAAATATATTTCACCTGTGATAGTTTTTCGTAAAGTTATGAGGGTTTAAAGATTGCCATTTTGGCCAATTTGACCAGTTTGGGCGCTTAAGTTTGGGCGCTATTAACGCGTAAGCGGAGATTTAATCCGTCTTATAAATCGTTCCAAATTGGTTGAACGAAGCTTATTTGCCATAATTGGTTTTTTACAGGGAGCGAAATCTATCCTTTTGCACTTTATATGGCGTGTGGGGGATTGATTTCATAAAAACATTTTCAAATTTTAGAAAAAAAATTTTTCATTCTGTTTTCTTTCATTTAATTTTTTTAATGTTATTACTGCTCAATAAACCTTAAAAGGCAGTCGAAACATTCAAGGCTTCGCCCTGATACGAGCAATCTTGTTTTGTTTTGTATGGAAGTCAAACAGAGTATGTAACGACTAAGCCCGCGAATTGTTTCACGATTTTTACTTTCCTAGCTTATCAATCTTTTGTGTACTGAAGCACCGTCATATACAGAAGTACGAAAATTCTTCTTTCATTACCCACAAGATTTTCAAAGTGGTTTTGAAAGCTTTCAAAAAATTCCATCAAGAAAAAACTGCTCGTATCAGGGCGAAGCCCTGAATGTTCCGACTGCCTTTTAAAGTTTATTGAGCAGCAGTAATACATAAAAAAAATTAAATGAAACAAAATAAAATGAAAATTTTTTTTTAATTTGAAATTTTTTATGAAAATCATCCCACCACACGCCATATAAAGTACAAAAAGATATATTTCGTTTTTCGTTCCTTGAAACAAATCAATTATGGCAAATAAGCTTCGTTCAACCAATTTGAAACGATTTATAAGACGGATTAAATCTCCGCTTACGCGTTAATAGCGCGAAATATATTGCGCGTTAATTGTCCCAAATTGGCCAAAATGGCCAAAATGGCAATCTTTAAACCCTCATGACTTTACAAAAAATGATCACGGGTGAAATATCTTTTCAAATTTAGTCTCAGGACAACAATACCTTTTGAATGATATACAAAATCCGTCAAAAATCGCTAGTTAAAAAGTCGAAATTTGTCTGAATAAAAAAAACTTCACCCCGAGCACAAATATTCCGTTACTTTCGTATCGAAAGTCGGAACAATAAGGAAGGTTTGGAATTTAAAAGAAAAGAAAATTTGAAGGCAAAAAATTTGTGCCGACATAACATCCGAAACTGAAGAATTTTCCAAGTTTTCTTTGAACTGAAAAAGTCTCCCGACCGCGGTAATTAGAGGACATTTTCAACACCTCATGTAAACGTTCCAAAAACTGGTATCTAATGGTATCTGTCTATTCAAGAAAAAAAACTGTTTCACTCAATGTTTTTACCAAATTTATAACCTTTTTAATTTTCTAGAAGCGGTAGAAAGTTTCTAGAAATGGTTTGAACGCGTTTTCTAAAATTTTGATTACGATATCATAAATAGTATACAATTAACCAAATCGTGAAACAAGCTTTTTTTATATCGAGTGAATATTATGACAAGCAATTTTTCGAAGCAAAGAAAAACGAATTTTTAAAAATTTACGGTTTCGTTTCTTCTCGTTCCGGATTATTTGTACTGGGCTAGTTTTTTTCTTCAGACGATTCTCCATTTTTTAACTGGTCATTTTTGCATCAATATTTTAACATCATTTGTCAGTTTTTTACATCATTCTAAAAGATGTTGTCCTGAGCTTAAATTTTAAAAGATGTTTCACGTGTGATCATTTTTCATAAAGTTTTCGGGGTTTCAAAATTTGCATTTTGACAAATTGGGACAATTAAAGCGCGATATATTTCGCGCTGTTAACGCGTTAGCGGAGATTTAATGCGTATTAGAAATCGTTCCAAATTGATCTAAAGAAGCTTACTTTGTTGATTTATTAAAAGGAGCAAAATCTATCACTTTGTAATTTTAAATTTAATTTTTTTTAATGTTTTTACTGCTCCATAGACTTTAAAAGGCAGTCGGAACATTCAGTTGATAT